TTTTTTTTTTTAAAGTGTGAAGCCAGAGGAGACGTGGAGTGGAATTCCAACCAGGATCATGAAAGAGAATCTAATGAATCAAAACCAATCCTATTAGTTCCGGCCCACATCTCCATGCCGTGGTCTTTTTTTTTTTTTTTTTTTGGCACTAAAATCCACGGCGAGATTTCACACGGATCTGAAACCACTCAACCTGCCGAGACTTTTTACGTCTAATTGACCATACGAGGAAAGCAATCATTTACATTATCACCACCACTTTTTTACCTATATATTTACATATAGTTTTTTATGTATATATCTAGCTATATTATATGATGAATTCTGTATATATATATGTATATATGTACAGATATGTATATACAGTGGGGGAAATAAGTATTTGACCCCTTGCTGATTTTGCAGGTTTGCCCACTTACAAAGAATGCTTATTTTTCCTCATCAGATGGTTATCAATTTTTATAAATTTATAAGATGTGATTTTCTGGAATTTTCTTTGGGATTCTGTCTTGCACTGTTAGAATGTACATATGATTAAAGTTATAGATCGTTGCATTCTTTGTAAGTGGGCAAACCTACAAAATCAGCAAGGGGTCAAATACTTATTTCCCCCACTGTATATATACATATAGTTTTTTTATGTATATATCTAGCTATATTATATGAGGAACTCTGTATATATATATATATATGTATATATGTACAGACATGTATATGTGTATATGCTTTTGTTTTACTTAGATTGTTGCATACTTTGTAAGTGGGCAAACCTGCAAAATCAGCAAGGGTTCAAATACTTATTTCCCCCACTGTATATATACATATAGTTTTTTATGTATATATCTAGCTGTATTATATGAGGAATTCTGTATATATATGTATATAAATATATGTATATATGTACAGACATGTATATGTGTATATGCCTTTGTTTTACTTAGATTGTTGCATACTTTGTAAGTGGGCAAACCTGCAAAATCAGCAAGGGTTCAAATACTTATTTTCCCCACTGTATATATACATACATATAGTTTTTTATGTATATATCTAGATATATTATATGAGGAATTCTGTATATATATATGTGTATATGTATATGCCTTTGTTTTACTTATGGAGCCTGTAAAAAAAATAATTTCCCTCTGAGATTACTAAAGTATTTCTGATTCTGACCCGCTAGCGGCTAGCCGCTAACCGCTAACCGCTAACCGGAGGCCCAGTCTGTCCCCAAAAGGTCCAGGAAATCCCCGTCTCCCCCATCTTAAACCTTTCCGTCCTCTCCTCATTTCAATTTTCCGTCTTGAGGGAGTGGGAAAATGAGCAGAACAAA